TTTTTGCTAAATAACGAATCGAACTCGCCAGCAGGCTGCGACAGTTGCGATATACAAATTGACTACGCTCTCGACTCCACACGTACACGTGCGTCACCGAGCCGCCTCGTTATTTCAATTACTTTCAGATAAAATTACCACGGATTACTTCGATCTTCGTTGGCTTCGAGCAGACATCTTTTGCCGCGCATCTACTAGATATACTCAATGTCAGTTCCATTGCTAGCAAAAGTATCGCGATAACAGTAATGGTTTCCACGTAAACAATGTCTGCTTTCTAACGAGCAAAGAAATTGCAACGCATCGAGTACTTTCAAGAAATGCAGATGTCTGGTCGCAGTTACTTTCTAAGATATCAAAGTCCACGGTACATATACATATACATATATATATATTCGTCTAGCTTCGTCTTTACTTACGTCGCGCGTCGTCAGACGGATGTAACATCAATGACAGAATCAACTAAATACCACAGAAAGCGCGTGTGATACTACGATTAACAGCTATGTAGAACAGTCTACGGTTACTTAACTACCTACTCGCAATCTTATAAAATTCCGAAAAAAAACATCGTGACGCATTATAATCCGCCGCCAGAGCGAGCTCTCGCGGTCGCTTAAGTCAATTAACAAAAATCGTATTTAAATAATAGGAAAGCTGTTTTTTTAGACTATCGTACTTGTCTCCTTCTCCCCCCCCCCCTCCCCTCCCCGTTATTCTCTTCCCACTTCCTCATAGATCATTCGTCCGGAATGTATATAAACTCCCTTCCTCGACACTTATCACTGGTATCGGTGCGAAGCACTGCCTGTAACGCGATATACATATAGTCGCCGCGGCAAATCCTCTTCGCATTTCGCGCGATTTAGAAAATTGATATGTATTTTGTCTATTCGTCCTCTCGTCGTTCCCTCTCACTTTTACTTTCATTTCTTTTTTTGTTTTTGGTGTCTCGACAATACTACTATGGTCATTACTTTCGAAGTGTGGTCAGGCTCGAAGGAGCTCTATTAATCCTGGTTGCTATATATGCTCGTATATGTATAATACGCGACAAGGTGTAATGTATAATACGCGATAAGGAATATGTAGCCCTTTCAGGGTTGACAAATTTGAGACGCGATTTTTGTAGTCGATCGCAAACAGAAGATGTGTAACGCGATTTGCAAATTAATTTATCCCTTTGTCCGATTTGCCTTTAAAATCGTCCTTTCTCGTCGAAAAGCCTAATGGGCAACTCGACGCGATCGACTGTAAGTTTCACGGGCGATCTCCGACTACCAGAGCGCCAATGCAATCTTTCCACTTTGTATCCGTTACTTACCCGGAAAAAGTGATATTCGTCAAGACAAACAAAGATAGAGTTTAAAATCAAAATGCCTATCGATTATGGTTTCCGTATAGCCTGACGAAAGTGGTGCAGAGAAACTTTAGGATCTCGAGGATCGATCCTGCCGCAGGACCCTCCTACGAGGACGGAATCGGGATCTACGAGAGAAACTCAAGAAGCGAAGGCAAATTATTCCGCGCGATTTGCACGCCTGCCTCGATCTTTCTTTTTCGAGCTATCGTTACGGTAGATTGGTGCGATCTAGCATCGGGTGGTGCATATTAATGTTGTTTTCACAGCGTGATATAGTCTTTGTGAGGTCTATTGGTAGTCTTTGGATCGATACATTGCCATCTTTGGTGATCTCGCGTACGTCGATCTCGCTCTCTTCCTACTTTCAGTGAGCTCCGCGCGGACGCGAAGTTCGCTATTTTATAGATGAAATCTTATACTTCCAGTATGCAAACCATTCGAGTTGTAATTTGCCGAAGTGTACAGTGGATTAATCATGCGAACTAATGATTCGATATTGTTAGGGCGAGAGCGTGGCCTCTCGAAGGAAAAATCGTACATTCGATTAAATCGGTTTAATCGCTGCAGACTTGTTATGTACATTTGTTAATTCATTGAGCCATAAATTCATGAATGTAAAACAGAGATTGATGCGTCTTTATATATGTATATTTATCTTCTATCCCGCATATCTTTATTAATTAATAATTTTAGAAAACGATTTTTTAAATTTGCTTGTCTTGTTTGTCGAATGTACGACTTTCTCTCGAGTTTGTCGCTCAATAAGCGATACATTTCGCTACTCTTTCCTTGCAGAATAAAAGAGCGTTATAGAGTCCCGGTTACCCCCGCGTTTCGCATGATTCGTTTCGCAGTGCGTTGCGCACGATGCCATATGTATATGCCTATACACGTGTGTGTATGTGGGTGTGTATGCATGTATGTCTGCGTGTGTGTATGTATATATATACATAATATGTATGTATGTATATATACACGTATATAAAAAAGAAATAAAACGAACTCGCTAGAGTAATTTCCTAGAGACGGTACAAAATATCTGATTGACATGTACTTCTCGCCCCTGTACTTTAAAAGTCGCGCGGTTTATATATATATTTTTTTCTTCATATATATATATCTATCTGTAGATATATGTATATATATACTTCTTCATATTTTATATTAACCTCTAATATATCCTTACGCGAATACCACTCTATGTTAATGTAATAATAGCGTACTGCCTACTGATATGTGTTAGTTCACTTGTAAAGCACTTTAAAATTCAATCTAACGATTCATCGATTCCGACGGTGAATAACGACGAATCCGCCTCTTAATGGCTAATTACAAAATAACGAGCTATTGAATACACCGAATAATGCGTTTGCCGCGCCGCATCCTCGCATCTTTCCAAGATCGACGATCATCCCCTCGCGATCGCGATAATCGAGCGCGTTATCCAAACTCGCACTATCCTCTCCTCGCTACATTTTCTTCCCCCGATCGCTTTCTATTCTGCTCGATATTTATCTTGATATGTTTGAGAATCATCCCCGGCGGATTTATAACACTTAAAGTTTTTCTTTTATCCTCGATTCCGTTAACCCTTTGCACTCGGATGTAATTTATACTATTTTTCTTAATTGCAAAAGATATGCATTGAGAATATTATGGTACTTTTTTTTTAAAGAAGAAGGCCAACTGTGTGTAGAGTCTGGTTCCAAGCGCATGAAAACTATTCCATCCGCAATGATACGCTAATCAAGTCCCTCTTGTATTATTTAATTACCCGTTAGTGTGTAATCATTTGTTATTAAATATCTGAGATAACGGACAGATCTAAATCTTAGTCCATTTCACTGCTCCTCGAATTGTAAGGCCTCGATTCGATTACAACTTAGATTATACTTCCTAAAGTTTCGTAAATTACATTTTATCGCAGTGGCTTGTCAATTAGTTGTAGCGTTAAATCCAAAATTTGTAGCATTACAAAATATCAATTTCCGATGCTTCCCCATTCGATAATCTACGTTGATATGTAAAGTAGAGGACTCAAGCGCGAGAGTGCAAAGGGTTAAAGTGAAAATTCAAACATTTTGCCTGACAATAATGTCCTCCTTTTTCGTTTCCGTTGTCTCTTCTTTTCTCATTCTCACGCGTGTACTCGGATGTATCGTGTGTGTTCGTCAAGTCCCAATATCGCGGAGTGATATTTCTAACGTAGTGCTCTCCAGTCGCTTTCCGTAGAAAAATAAAGAACATACTGACGCGATTATGACTTGACGATCGATGACGACGATGACGACGGGCGATTAATGATGAATGGATCGATCGGTTCGCGCCCGAACGCGCCGATGGATGATCGCCATTAACGATATAATCCACTGTTTAATCGGCGGCTTTTCTTAAGTAACTTCCACTCTTTCGTTAATTGCGGATGCATGTAATAAATGCCCAGTGATACAACGGGGGATACAAAGGTTGGTCGTGAAACTTTCTAGGATTCATCGGCGGAGAAGCTGATTACTGAAAGCTGCTCTAATAATCTTCGTTACGGTTATTCGTTAACATTTGCAATCTCATGTTACAATTGACGCAAACGCAATCGCCATGTTTATTCAAAGTTTCAACTTACTAAAATTCAGCGTCTAAAAAAACAGAATTACATGCAAATCTTATTGTTACATTTTTAAAATTATGTGCATTTACGTGAGACACCAGGTAAAAATATCTCGTGCGAATACAAACGGAGTTGGAGAAAATTTTGTCACGCCAAAGGGAAATTGCCAAGATAGCTATTACAGATTTTCATGAATTTGCTTGAGAGACAAATTTCGGAAACGTTCCGCTCCAAGTCTCGCCGAAAGCTCGCCTTTGATCCTCGAATCATTATGAGATCTTCAATACGCCCTCATCGCAGCTTTCCGCCACCAAGAAAGTAAGAGGAGAAGGTCGGAGGGAAAGGGGAGTGAATGCGATAGGGTGAAAGAGGGGCGAATGGGACGTATTTCGGGTATGGTTGCACGTTTAGAGAAGCGCCGGGAGTTCTCTCTCTCTCTCTTTGGGAGTTCGAAAAATCGGGACAAGATCTATGTGTGTAACGCGCTACCGATTACAGCTTGTGACTCGACCAACAGAAAGGCACTTGGGCAAATTACGTGCCGAGTTGGCCGCCGTTTCTAAAACACACGGGGCACATCACCTTCACTACCTCCCTCTCTTTTTTTTCCGTCCGCTCTCTTGCTCTCTCTCTCTCTCTCCCTCCCTCTCTGCTCTCGCAATTTTTTTTTGTTTTACGGAGAAACGGACGGTCGTTCAAATTCCCCCCTCGCCGCACTTTAATTCTCATCTACAGACTTAACCCTATGATATGTTCGCGTTCGTTATGTATATATATGTATAAGATTGTTACTTACAATCACTCCCTCGCATCTCTCACTTATCATACTCTCGTTCGGGTTGATTCTCTTTTTCCTTCCTCTCCTCCTGTCGCCGTGCATGTTCTCTCGCATTCGCAGCTCCATTCTCGCTTGTATTTCAGCTGGGATATTCTCTTCCTTCCTCTCCCTCACGCTCGCACACGACGCACACACATACACCCATTCGCTCCTTCACTTTCTCCCCCCCCCCTCTCTCTCTCACTCTCTCTCTCTGTGTTTCTCTCCCTCTCCCTCTCACTTCCTTCATCCTCACCTAGGACACTAGACTCTTCTTAACAAGATACAATAGTTAAATGTACGCGCGCTCGTGCTTCGCGCGACGCGCCGATGATAAAACATAAATACACGCTTCTTAGGGCACCTTTGGTATTAAGCTTGATGTACTCATCTTCGCCTCGCTTGTATCGTTTCAGTGTGTGGAATACGCAATTTCGCGTTAGAGCCGCCACCGGGATTCGCATTGTTCTATCACGCGCGCTTCAATCGCGCGTTAATGAGCTTGATTTCTTTTTTCTTTTTTGCGAGACTCGATTCTCACGACTTATTACTTTTCCACCGATACGAACAATTCGAAAAGCTCGAGCTCGATGTAATGACTTATTTAGCGAATTTTTTTACAAGTTCCCTTTCCAAAACACCCAATAGATTATCGTTGAATGCAATTTACATGATACATCGCGGATACACCCCTGGGTGGCATGATATGTCTGATAAAATCTTCGCGACTGTCGCGTGTAAATGTATTTTTGTGTGTGTGTATTGTATACGTGTACGTGTTAACAAATATCGCGATATAACGTGCGCGTGTGACTGCGAAGAGTGCCATTTTTCTTTACGTATGCGTACACATACAAGAAACAAAATTCGCTTCCTCGCCATCCTTCGTTCTTCCGCTGCCTCCTCTTCGATCTCACCTCTTTATCATCCCTCCCACCCCCAGCCCCTTGTCTCTCGCTTCGTCGTCGTCGATCGCGATCAAAGACACGGTGAAAATAAATAGTAGGTAAAGGTAGGTACGCGAATCGAGATAAGTTAAGTTCGTTAAAAAATATATATACCTAGGAATTATTATGTGATTATATTGGGCCCCCCGCTAGAGTCGCGCGAACCAACACGCCTCTCCGCTCTGCAACGTCGAAGAATTTACAAGAATTTGCCTACCGACGTGCTCGCTGTGTCCCTTCCGGGCGGAAGGGAGCGACCGGGATCTCTCACCCTTCCACCCACACTCGCAATTTTTGCGTCTCTCCTCTTCTTTTCTTCTTCATGTGTATGTGTGTATGCGTGTGTGTGCGCGTATATGTGTATGTGTGTGTTTGCTGCTCTCGCGCTCCTACGCTCGCTCCCTGCGATCTCTCGTCAACGAGTCTTCAACTGCTCAATAGCGTGCGATTTCTTGTATGGTTCTTCCTCGTGTCTTGTTTTCCGATGGATATTCTGTCCTACGCACGTCCTGTCGTCTCCTCCGGCAACCCGATAATCTGCCTTCTTACATGCCGTTGATGTCGATCTTAAGGTTGGCCGTTTTCTTGTCTCTTTGATCCCTGAAAAGTCGAGGCATGCGGTTAGAACGATTCGTGGATACATGCACGCTCGAAACGCGACACGCAAGAAGAGATCACCTAATTGCAACGAGATGACGCTTTCATATTTAAATCGCATGTCACTAATACGCGAGACCATCACAGACGGAATTAATTACTTCTTTCTGAAACACAACAATTTCTTTAAGTTTCTCGCCGCTATGCCGTTACGTACAACAGATATTCTTAATAATATACACACAAGAAAGAAAATTGCATCATCTTTAAGCTACGCTGGATAATATTGTTGCTCGAATGTGTTCAGAGAAAATTCAAGTCCCTAAGAACTGCTCAAGTCGAATTTTGAATATTCCAAGACGCGAACGCTCAAGACCCCGAAAGCCGATGGTCATTCATAACGAATCTTTTTTTTTCAACACCGGTTCTCAAAGTCACACGTAGTGACAGTTTGAAAAAAGACTCGGTCGAGGGTCCGAACGAGGATGAAAGGACAACCTACATTTGTCTTGTTACCACATAAAGAGTGTCCGCGTGAAGCTGAAGAGACGACATTGCCATTGAGTAATTTGCGTACCTCATTAGGACGTGACTGTGCTGAAAAGCGCTCTTTCACGGTTTGTTCAAAGCTCTCGGTCGACGAAGGAGCATGTACACGACCGAAGAAAAGGAGGATATAATAAGGGAAGCAGAAGATATAAGGGATATAGACGGATAGATTGAATTTTGTTGTGTCTTGGGAAAGAAATCTCGCGGAAACGGAGATTTTATGAATAAAACGTATTTACATACCAACGGTAGACTCAAGACAGGGCGACGTAAGGAAATAAAGTAATAGAAATCTTACGACAATATTTTTCCACGGCGTATTAGTACTGTAAAAATTTTCCAAGAAAAGTTGCATCGAATGTGTTGTGTATATAATAATCGAGTATTAAATTTTGAATGAAAATAATGTATTTAATTATACGTAAAGAATTATTTTACAATATAAATGTACAATAAAGGATATTTATATGTATACAAAAGTAGAGAAAGAAAAAAACGATGCGTTTAAATTTATATCAATAAATACGATCTAGCAAAGAAACATTAAAAGGTAGATAAAGAAATTGGAGAGTTTAGAAATCCAGAAAGTGAAGAATCTTAGAAATTCTAGGGAACAAATCGACGCAAACGAATTACGAAAATATAAAAACCCAGGGAACTTTTCTCTCAGAAGTCAAAAATTAAAAACTCGATTATTCAAGAGCCCGAGTCTCGTGAGTCTCTGCTGTTTCTCAACAATCCTATAAAAAGGTTCCCCTCATCTATTAAATGCAAAAGATTTTCTGATATACGTGTGCACAGTGAGGACGAGGCGGAGAGAAAATATTCATAGGATTAAATGTTTGCGAAAAGGGCAAGAGTTTTAATTCAGCTTCAACTCGAGTATCCCACGAGGTGAATGCTGCGGTGCCAGACGTCTTTATAAAACGACGTGAATTAACGATGACGTGTTCGGCCGTGCCCAGCCCCAAGCTGGTATCGATCGTTTAATTCGAACATGGGGAGGTCGATCTGTAGCCGCGCAGCTTCACGTTTATAGCCGTGACCAATCGCAACTTTTCGGCGTCACGTATAAATAAACAAGTTGCTACACAATCGCAACTGCAAGTGAACGATATCGATCCAGCGATTTTAAAGGGTAAGGTCGATCCGAAGCGCCCTTTTATAACGTCCGATCAATTTTTGGTGACACACTTCTGCCCCGACGCGATTCCATTTCCGGACGTTTCGAATGTAGAGATTGCCGAATCCTTTAATTCTATCTTTCAGCCTCCCACATATTTCGAACATGCAGTAAAAGTCCATATTTCTTCGAGGTCCGTTCTAATTTTTCAAGTACCTTTTATTCCGTTAACATTGCGTATAGTTACACAGTTGCAAAAATTTGTGTTTTCTTGTTAAAGAAAATACCGGTTAAAATTTTTGTGTTAATTGACCTCGAATGTAAAATTATTACAATACTTGAAAAGAAATGCTAAAACAACACAATGCGTACTAATTTTTTATCTGACACAATACATATGTCCTATATTATTAGTAACAAAATTTATTTCAAATTACTTTGAGATTTGCATTTATTTTGTGTTGAAATATTAACAGAGTATTAGTGTGATCATGCATATCCATATTATGTTAAATTAACACAGAAATTTGTGCGAACCGTTTGGGACATGTGATATCTGTTAAATTTAACACAAATTTTTTCAACTGTGTAGTTTTAATTTAATTATTATAATTCGTTTTTAGACATAAGGTTAAAAAAATAAGAAAAGGTGAGAACAATTGAAATAATTGGATTTAGGCTACATAAATTTTGCCTAAAAGAATTAATTCAACTCCTGGACTTAAAGGACTTGCGTCCTTGCATTCTTTTATCATTCACTTGCACGGTTATTATTCTCTATTTAACTGAAAAATGATGCAAACTTTTTTCTTGACGTGTCAGTTACGCATGTCGAATGTCACACGCAAATAATATCATAGCTGTTATGAGCTTTACCGAAATATTACTACGATATTTCGACCAAGCGAACAACTCCGCCAGCCTCATTTAACGCAGCTTAATTACTTAGCTAATTAATTAGTTCAATCCTTTTAGCGGTTGGATAACCTGTGAGTTGAACTTAGTTCAGCCCTTAAATTACGTGAGTGGAATCGATCCTTAAATGTCCGACAAATCTTCCTTCATCGACGGAAATACGGTCTTGATTAAAAGCGGAACCTCAGAATCATCGTTGTGTCTGACTTTCCTCTTTTTTATCTTACATGAACCGTTGTCATAATTTTTGAAATTCGTTTTGCTTAGACTGATGTAAAATTCGATCGAAACATAAAAGAAACGTATCAAACCGTCTTTGTTTTTATACATATCAAATATTTTTGTACAAACATTTAAATGTACATTTCACCCGACGATGTAAGAATAGGAAGCGATTGCATCTCGACGAAAACTTAAAATATATACAAAGTTTATCACATTGAATATGTAACGAAAACATTAAAGACACTTCATTATCACAAAGCCAAAAGTAATTTCAATCAATAAAATGGATTCGAATATTGTATACAGCCAATCTTTCCCCAAGCATTACTACAACCAATTAGTATAACGTTGCTACAGGATGGTGCATAGTGCTCGTCATATCTATATGATACAGTAAAACAAAGATAAATTTGATACAGCGGAAATAAACATACAGGAAAGGAAAGGATTTCGTATGAAGGGAATTGCACCGTAAGAACGAGCAAATCGACAAACACAGGCATCGATAAAGAAGGAGCATGAAGAGAATACAACTGGAAAAAGAGATAACTTGGAATCTAGGATCGAAACCGTATAATTTGGATGAGTTCAATTTTCAGTGCCACGATAAAATTTACCTTGCTATCAAGTATCGCAATCCCATCCGCCAGAAATAGATATCGAAATCATTTCTGCCTGTCTCTAGCGTCGAAATCTGAACTCTTCGGAATTATAATTAAGTCTCTGTTTGAAAATCGTGCAAAAATTTGAAAAGGGGAAAATCATAAAAAAAAATAATACAAAACAGATAAAAAAAATTATACGTTCCGATCGCAGAAATGGGAAACGTGTATCTCAATCGAGCAATAGAGAGATAAAGAGAAAGAGAAAAAAAAAGAAGGAAAGAAAGACGGACAGATTCGCCGGCTTTCACATGTTTGGTAGGCGATTAACGGCGGATAATTGACAATTGGCACCAGCGCACGAGAGTGCATCTACTGTTCGGATACGAGTCCTCGACGGGACAGCCGTCGTCGGTCTTTCGGCCAGATTTAATTGGCCTTCAAAGTGACGGCCTGTCTGGCGCCTCGGGGCACAAACGCTTTCGAGGGCGAAACCGCGTGAGTTAGATCGAATAATGACCGAATAATTGGATCCAGGATCCACTGGGCCCAATGCATTTCGGTGCCGACGACAAAAATTAAGATTTCGAAATCGATATCACTTCGGTGACGTCAGCTTCGACGCTACAGATGTAGAAAAATGTGCCGTTTCCGCGACTTTATAAATGGTATACAATATCAGATTTTTTATATCTGCAGCATCGATATACATAGACTCATCGAAATTACACCGATATCGATCCCTAGACGAAAACGCACAGCTGTACTCATACATAGTTCCGATAAAACATTGCTTTATACAGCATTTTACTTTTAAAGATTTGTTATTTAAATTTCACTATTGACATTTTTGTATTTTAGATATTTTATTTATAGCACTATTGTATATATTTTTTTCTAATTTTATTAATTTTTCTTATGTCTTCTTTACATAAAATTAGAAATTTATATTTCTTATCAATTTCTAATTTTGTTGTGTTACGAAGACTATAAATCGCAGGTAGAAAAAACTGTTAATAGATAATATTTCATCTTCGCGTTTCATTAAGATATTCGTCGAATAAATTAATATTCATACTTTCTATATATTCTCTAGAGGATCTGATGTGGCAATTCACTGGTTTCAGTGATGATCCACTGATTAACTTTTAAAGAGTGAAATATTATGAACGTTAGAGTATAATAACAATAATTATTAAATGACACGGAATAAAAGTAAGACATAAAATGTTGGCAAAAGTACAGCCCTGCGTATTCGCCGTTGATCGCATTTACGCGGAGGCGGCTCTACCGTAGGGCGGACCACCCAAAGCCTCGTGTATGTGCAAAAGTCTCGTGCTAGATCACAGTAAACACTTGTGTTAAGGACTTGGGCGCATAAGCGAGACCCCTGGGTATTCGAAGGTACGCAAGCTCCACGCTTGACCGCGATAAATACTCTCATCGAGGCTCTCAACATGTGCAAAGTGCGCGAGAAACGCCCTCGCTAAAATCCTCGCGCGCGCGCCAAGATCCTTCTCGGAAGCATCGTCTTCGCCTTATGAATACCACGAGAGAAACAAACACCTGAGGGTTGCGAGCTCGCGAATACCTCGTACGAAAGCTCGCCTACTTCAAATAGAGCCGCCCTCCGCGTACTTTGCAGCGGTCTATCGTAGCATAAAGTGGAACCTACTTCGATCCAGAGATTTGTAAAGCCCACCTCGGCCATTTTTGACTTTGCATATTCGATTCGTATCGCTCCCCGGTCGGAGGAGAGGAGAAAGGATCCTTGGAGAGTGGCCATCGCCTGGGCCGCGTAGCGAACGTCTTGATATTCGACAAAGGCCACTGGCGACCCTCCCTTCGTGTGCATACGAAGCCGGGAGAAACCAGGAAAACTGTGCACAAATAAGAGAAGCGTACAATACGTGCTCTAGTTAGTCGTAAAGACAGTACTTTGGTAAAGGGGAAGTTTAGAGAGGTTTGGCGGGGGTCTTGGTTACTGCTTGGTTGCCATTAATGGTGTCGGTGGTGTCAGGCGGTGCCGACATGGGGTGATTACACGGAGGGGATGCGACACAAACTCAGGATCGAATTTAGATCGTTAACAGCTGTGAATTATTTCCTTCAGCATGTACGTGTGCGCAAATTATTTGGGGGGAATTTTACGTGTTCAGAGATAATTACGTACATACATACGATACACACATGTATGTACGTAAAAAGAGAAAGTTATCGAAATTAAGGGAAAAAAAACTAATCTGTACAATTATTGTTTTTGCAAAATCTTTCTTAAACGTATGAAACAGCGGGTAAATAATTGAAATTATCTGTTAAAACGTGGTCGAATGTTTGAAAAATTATAGAAAGAAGCATATCTACACGCGATAGATTCTCTTAATTATCATTCTTCGTTTACTCATTTCATAACAAACAATAAGATGGTTAATAAAAATTCTCGTATCTCCCTTTCCATTGTACACCACATTGCTCCTTCCGTTTCAAGCCTTTTGTATTAGGTTCACAGTGCATACAATTTACAAATCCGCGATTAGTCGATGGTTCGCGATACAGGGACATTACCCTCCGTGCAAACCCGTTCAGCACACCGACAATTAGTAAACGGCACTGGTCGTATGGCATTGGTACGGGTACTAGTACAGGTGCGTCCTATATGCCTACAATCTACGACGGTGGCAAATGATTAGCGGATGTCAGTGATGTTTGGAGGCGGTGCTGTTAGTACAAAGCTTTCGGCGTTCACGACGGACTTGCACAATTTCGACTATTATCGCGCCCTCGGCACGACGATTAAATTTAGGCGAGCTTGATGTTTTGCTTGTTATCCTTCGATTACTATGGTCAATGTATTCAATTCCCTTGTTTATCATTGTCCACGGATGCACAACAGAATAAACATAAATGTAGAATTCACAAATTTAAAGATTCGCAAACTGATTCGTGCACACGAATCTATGAGAACGCACGTGTGAGCTCACAAATTCATGGATCCAGCGACTTGCATAATTCTATAGAGTCATATTAAATCTCCCATTTTTAAGAAACAATTAGATAAGAGAATTTTTCAACATTTAAAATTAGTGATTATAATAAAAAGTAAGCAGTAATTATATTTATTAAAAAATTTTTAATTAAAAACGATTAAAAATGATATCAGGAATATAAAATTGAAACACAGCTGCGTTTTCAAATTACCTTTAACAAATGTTTCTTTTAATTAGTATTTAATATGTAATTTTCATAGCATCATTACTTGCAAGGTACTTAGCAATTTTATTTTCGAACAATCCTATACGTTGCACAGTCCGAAATATTTTCGCAAGATCGTAAAATTCTGTATTCTCGTCAATGACGAAATGTACTTTTTCTCAAGCGTATTAATGTGATATAATTACCCGTGCAAGAACAACGGATGAATTACATGCGACGAGCACAATGTATTCACGTCGTCGACGACGAAATTCCGTCGAATACTCCCGCGAGCTACCGAAAATTGCAGAATGCGCAGCGCGCCTCTCGCACGTGCAAACGCGTGTAATTAACTCAGGCACTCACTTACGAATTCATACTGCAGAACTCTGGGGTTTGCGGGATAATGAGATTTCGCGGGCTAATTATACGAGGAGAGGAAGAGCCCTCTCTATTGGCAACGGAACTTGCGAGACAGTCGCGCGCAGACTTCAGTCAGCGACGAAACTCGAAAGAGTGGATCGCATCCTCTGGATCGCTATTCGTACGCTGTGTGTCGGGGACATTGTTATTAGCGATTCTTAATACCTCGTGAGAATTTTCGAGGATCGATTAACTGCAGATTCTGTAACTGATGTTTGAAACGTACACAGTTGAAAAGTTTGTGTTAAATTTAACAGATATCGCATGTCTCAAACGGTCCACACAAATTTTTGTGTTAATTTAACATAATATGGATATGTCAAATGATCACACTAATACTCTTTATTTTTTTATCTTTGTGTTATCTCTTGCGTTAATATTTTAATACAGAATAAATTTAAATCTCGAAATAATTTGAGATAAATTTTGCGGAAAATTAACACATTTTTAAGGACAAAATGAATTTTAAAAATGTAATTTTTACGTTTTACAGATGTAATAAGTCAAATGACTGTTCAAAATCAACATTTTATTCTGTAAATTTGAACAGATAAATCTCGTTACTAATAATATATTATAGAACATATGTATTGTGTAAGATTGAAAAATAAGCACACATTCTGTTGTTTTAACATTTCTTTTCACTTATTTTAATAATTTAACATGAATGTGTTAAACATTTAACACAAAAACTTTAACCGGCATCTTTTTTAACAAGAAAACACAAATTTTTCAACTGTGTAAATATGATAAAAATGGTATTTGAATAAAAAATTTGAATCAAAACAAACAATAAAGATAAAAAGAACTTCAGATACTGCCAGCCGTAGTCGTGCCATAAACAACAATGAAACTTAGATAAATTTATTTAGTACGATATGCATTCCTCGATAAGAAACAAAAGACGATTTACAATATAATAACTAACGTGTCAATATATGTATACCATGAAGTGGTTAACATGCACCATTCGACGATTGTGCAGGAAAGGTGAAAATATTTTCTCCAGATTCGTGCTATTAAATTACCTTGAACTGAGCAAAATAATTTTAGATTTTGTTCAAACTCTTTTGTCGAATAATTATCGAGAGGGGTTATTTTATTTCCAAACTTTCATTCTTCTCGATTCAACTATTTGTGTATGCATTTCTAAAGTAAAAAGAAGGTAAGCTACATGTACTCTCCAATGCTACACTCTCTTCTCTCTTTATAATTATCTATTTTTAGAAACTGGGTAAACACGTATACATTTTTACACCGTTAATATTTAGATCCTTGAATTTCTGAGTTTATAATTTGTGAGTCATAAAGTGTATAAAGATACAAGACATATCATGTCTCTCTGTTAATTTCTTCAAATTGTGTACAATTTCTTCCAATGCAACTGTTAAACTTCGTCGCTCCCTTTCTTCGTTTTTTTTTTCTAATAACCATAGTAATCGATATCGGAAATACCAAAGCAACTACTCCCAATATTCTATTAAACAAAGAGTATAATCGAGCAATTTCATCTATCATACAGTTTCGCAGTGCAAAATTACGTAGAGAAAATAAATTCACGTAACTTTCTCTTCTTACCGGCAATTATTATAATCCCGCGACTGCAAATACGTGGTTCGCAGCATTAATCAAAGATAAATTAACGACTCTTTACCGGATCCTCAGGTTTTCCTATTCCTACGTAGAAACTTATGTACATGCGGAAAAGCGGATATTAGCCGCGGTTTAACCGATTTAACGTAGACATATCGAAAGAGTTCGTAATTCTCGACTCAATGATTCACGACGTACCGGAGGCGTACTCAGGATCGTGGGAAGGTTCCGCATGGCGGGGCACGTGAAAATAATTTATTACACGAGCGCAACTGTTATGCCCGGCCGGATAACATATTTTAACTTTGCCGCTTGTTGGATAGCTGACACTCAAGCGAGCAGTCTAATTGCGAATATCTCCGTTTGCAATTAGCGGGTCACCATGTTTAATTATGGTTTTGCGCTCAGCATTCTCAGTGACCCGAAGGTTCCCGTCCATGATATATACATCAGGACTGCGTCAAGTACGACAATGTAATAATTAATAGCAAGTGTACTGACATTCCGCAAATTTTTTAAGCGTCACGAAACGATAAGAATTGCACCCATTAAGCGCTACGGTCGCGACTTGTGCTTTTTAACGGCATTTTTTTTTCCCGACACAGGAAATCCTCGGATGCATGTATCCTTGCTAAAGTTACATAACTATGTGACGTAAAACGTTAACAAGCTACTTCCTCAAACGGAAAACTTCCGATCTTTGGTTCATCTAGAACTTATTCGTGGGTAAATTTGGTTTTAATACAAGAGTTTATGTAAATACGAAATTCTTTTTATTTAAACACGGCAAATCCAATTGTTGGACTCGTTGCAGATTGAATGAGTGTGTACAACTTATATAAGTCAACGGTCCAACAATCGAGAGATCTCTTACTCTCTTCGCTAAAGATTTCCGCCGGATAAAGTAATCTAAAGGTGGGTGGGATAAAATATTGGAGAATTAAAAGCTCGACGATTCTAAAATTGATTCGTAGAATTGAAAAATGTTTTTACCGCCATATTCTCGCTGTTGGTTCATAGAGGATAGCAAATGTTCCGAATACACCACGACATCGTGATATCGCCACCACGTGGTGCACTGATAAGACCCACGTGTATCGGTACCCGTATCGCAATTGGCGCGCATTTACCGCCAGCATGAGAACACATGATATAAACATGACTTGGTCATTTTAAGCAATTCATTATCTTCGTTATCATTCTTATTATAATTAACATCCGCATCTTCTGACATGTCGCGTTAAAATAAAATTAATTATCTATGCGTTCATTACACAATGAACGCGGCCTTTAAATAGCATCTTATCTAACAATAATATTAAATGTAAATTGAGGTCTAAAAGCTCCCGATATAATAATAAAAAAAGAAATATTCAATTTCGTCACTTTATTTAGAACAACGGGATGCAAAAGAAGCTACTTTCTGAAGTTGGAGATATTTAGACTTTTCTCCGGTGTGCTTAATTTTTTTTTTGCAAATGTATCCCGCGACGCCTACACCTTTGCCACACGGCGATAACGCACCTCGGTGCATTCTGAAAACTGTCCTTAGGATCTCGATAATTACACACATGTGTGGCTCACGGAATATATAAATATAATAAATCGATAAGCGAGCGCAACCGATAGGCGAGCACGTTCGATTCGCTCGCGTACGGCTACGGATTAAGGGAATAAAATGCGGACGGGTGAGATGTCTGACCTGCTGAAGATGTCCTTTAGCTCATGCTCGGACACGAACTGGCCCAGGTTTGCCACGAAGAGGGTGGAGCACTGCGCATTGCTGACGATGTTCGGCTGTGACGAGGGTGATCCGACCGGTGACGCCAGTGCCGGCGACGGTAAAAAATGAGGCAGCGACGCGTGTATCGACGTCAACGTCGTAGGATGCGGCAGGGACATAGGCGCCTGGAAAATATAAATACTTCCGTCATACACTCAGCTCGCTCCTCTCGGCCATGAGTAGTCGGTCCGTTCGCACAGATCGACGCGTTTGCGTCAGTCCGCCTCGTCCTTCCCAACCCTACATGTGTCCCTTCGACAAAAAAATTGCACCTTTTCAAACAGTAAAACTCAAGCCTAAAGGTCGCCCCGACGTAGGAAGTGCGCTCCCTCGATCGAAGAAAGCGCCATTCGCGAAGGTATCGCGAAAAACAAACAGGTGTCTGAAGAATCTAAAACGAAATTTCAACACTGTGTGTTTTAACTTTTGCAATTTAAATATGTCTTCTAGAACGTTACGTACTTAATCTTTTTTGTAAAAAGTCTTAAATTGTACGTTGCAAATTGCTACGAGAAGCAGGCAACGCGTGCACCTTCTGATTGTAGATCGAAGCACGTTGTTTTTTCTTCTCTTAAGAACGTAAGAAGTTGTTTCAACCGGTACAATACTTTTTGTTGAAAATAAGAATTGATATAACTAACCAATCGCGCGGAAATAAATTATATAACGCGAGAAAACGCAGTAGATTCCTCATCTAATTATACGTGCGCGAATATGTCTGTAAAAGATATCATCAATATGAAAGGAATGATTCTGAATCATTTGCATTGAGTGCCGTTATTAACTTATCAAAGCGATGATAAATCTCGCCAACGACATTCTCGGTTTCGCCAAGTCGCTCGAGAACGCGTTTAATCGAGTTGGATCGCAGAAGATATTCAACTTAATAAGATCCGACGTTATTGCTACCAGGTTCTCGGTTCGTTATTCCTCAAGTGGATATATCTCAAGATTCGCTTCCTTTTTACTTCCGTTAAAGGAAAGGCAAGATGCGTACGGAGAAAAAGGAAATAATAGCGCGGCAGTCCGGGCTCGAGAGCCTTCGATTTATCAAACGTTCAATGCAACAGATTTTCCCTCTCGTGCGGGTAAATTCGAGGAATATCGGTAATGCTCTCAATTTTAGTAATAAGAATGTCTTGTGTCTGAATTTCGCGTGAGCTGTACAAAATTGACATGCAAAATTTTAGTCCCTTCCAAAAGCTCCCACGACATAATCCTTTTGCTGAATCGATATCCCGCCATGAAATAACCATTTTCCATACATCCGACGTTTCTTGTGGAAGATTGGTTTTAAGAATTTAATTTATGTTTTACAAAACAACACACTTTTACGCTTTTTGCAAAGTTTTTTTTTCCGCAACGGTGTCTGTTATTAAACGAGAAAAAAGAATCACACACTTATAGAATTTTAAGTGTTAGGAACTTTAAGGTGAACGATGCAGCAATGATTTATAGATTTAAGAACTTAACTATACGAAACGATAACCCAAGGGCTTATTTAAATGCAAGATTATCTGCCGATCTGTCCTAAAAATATAAAAGTTCAAAATACGAAAGACCACAAAGTTCAAACGAATATGCTGTTTGGCAATGCTAATGCTATTCATAAAGTCCAGAAATGCCTGAATCAATTAACAGCATTAAAAAATTTGGCCATCCTTTCTATTGATTTTAAGCAGGGATTACGAGTACCGGGATATAAGAACACATTGTATCGCAATTCCTTATCCTCGCGTCCTCAATTGTTCCACAATTTGCCGTGGCAATGTAATGAAATAATATCGATCCGTTATTACAGTGTAAAAAGCATCACATGCTACGTAGTGATGTCGTACGCAATGCGATCGATAGAGTAACTGATTGTATCACGTTCGTCCACATTCGTGGCTACGTCGTCGCGCTATTTGTCCACACACATAGAAATCAGTAGAGCGTATTTCACGAGCGAGTCGCGGCTCGGCATTAATGCGTGACAGGCACCCATGTGATCCTGGCACAGGCTTATGCGACATTAAGAATCGATAGAGTCGTGCGATTTGGTGCGATCGGTACCACCGAATCGTCAATGTCCCAAAGGAAATTGAGGCTACACTCGCGCCGAACAATTATTCCGATTCTTCAAGCTACGAGCTTTCATTGAACATTGATCTTTTCTCCGAATATTCTTTAATAAATAAGAAGACGAATTTTTTATCGTACCGAAAACTCTATTAAGGTAAACGAAAAGTCTCGCCAGTCAATCTTATATCAGAGTTCGATGTAAAATTTAAACGAAAGACGAATTTCCAGAATAACGAAGATTCCGATATGGAAAATGTATGTACCCTTATTTCTATATCTTCACATATCTCTTCATTTAATTTTCCATATCTCTTAGATTAGGTGCTGCTAATTACCTAACATGCGGCTTATCGGTGTTATTTATGGTTGCGCCTTACACTCTTCATCTATCTTCATTAATAACTATATGAAATAAGCCCGAACTGTAGATATCATCAGCGCATAATGTCCACGAGTTTTAAATACTCTTTCTCAGCTCGTAAAATTAAAAGGGCGGATGCGGCTAGACCGGAGAAAGGGTGAACCGCGCAATTATTAACGTTGGTCTACGGCGACCATAATTAATACATGTCGCGACAAACTACGGAGGCATCGCGGTAACTTCGAAACTCTGCGATTCGAAGCTAGCGTGACGTATGCCCGCACGGCTATACGTTTCTGCATAATACGTGAGGACACGCAGTGCGACGACAAGTTGCGCTATCGATTTTGTGACGATACAAAGCGTAATATTCGAACATACGCTGACTAACATTACATGTGTATGTATAGAGAAGATGTTATTTATCCGCATGGTATTATTCATTATGGACGTCGTATTAATGCTGGTTTTATGTAATGTTTATACAGGATTAGGTATCATCACCGCATCAAATTTTAACGATGGACCTTCTGCTCCAATTACGATATTCCCTAAACAAATACATAGGTTTCGAATTATAGGCTATTAATATTGAATGACATTTGGAAATAAAATTTTCGATGCGCAAAATTTTATCTCCATTTAACTTTATCTCTTGACAATTTTATCATGAAAATATTTATCACAAAGATTGAAGATCGAAAAATCTACTCCGATCCACTCCTTATCGAAAAATCAAATTATTCGAGTTAATTATTCCAGATGCGATGACGATAAAACACCTGTCACATATAGTTCGCGTAAAACTTTTAAAGCAACAATATCTTGATTAAATATTTTTTCCCCCGAAAATCTAACATTCTAGAGATTCATAAAACCTAAAGGTCTACGCGAGATGTAAAAAAAAAAAAGAATCAGGGCATCGGAAAAAAAGGGACCGAGGGGCTAAAGCGCTAAAGAATTCGACGACCAAGAATGTAGAGGGAATCCAGGAGTCGAGGGCTCAAGGTAGCCGTGATCGAAAGCATCTTCGGTCCTTGAACCCTCATGAATCTCCTTGTTACCATGTAAGAGTAATCGAGTATAACGATCATGTATCACTAACGTGCATCGGGGCGCTCGTCGGCGGCTCCAGAGCTTTGTCTGCAGATAGTCAAAGATAGGAACGTACGGGGACCTGAGGATGTAACGCCGGGTGCACCAGCGTCGCATGTTGCAGCGTGCCCGGTAATTCGCCGGCTGTAGAATACGCCAATGGATGATGCCACAATTCAGGACCACCGGGGAAGAACGGACTCCCTAGGTCTGCAATAGAGCACAGGATTAGATAGAGTCGCTCCCCTGAGTAATTAAATGTGCGGTTGCGAACCGCGTTTCACGCGCGTTCTTGCCCGCCAGGATATCTACCAATACTGGAAATGCCAGAGATGGATTTTTATCTTCGTACCGGACGTATCATAAATATGTCCCAATTTAATACACTGACATTTCCCAACATAAAATATTAGCAAAAAAAAAGGATTCGTCAAATGTTTATTTTCACTCCATATTTGCATATCTTTATCGATAAAGTAGATAAAGTTATTTGTAATTCAAACATTTTAGTACCCAACCGAAAAATAGAGCTCTTCGAAATTTTTTTAGAGATAGAAGTATATCGGAATGTGAAAATCTTTATCGATAAAGTAGATAAAGTTATTTGTAATTCAAACATTTTAGTATCCAAGCGAAAAATAGAGCTCTTTGAAATTTTCTTATGTTAGAGATAGAAGTATATATCGGAATGTGAAAATTTTGCTTACACATACAATAGATATCCTGTCCATTATTTATATTAGTCGGCAGCCCTTACGTAAAGCTTTGCTGAACATTATCTCTGTTGACGTGAAACATTACTATACTCCTATCATGTTGCGGAAAATCTTTTTCAAATTTATCTAGTTTTCCATCTAGCAACGTACGCTGCTTTTTACATGAAAGCTGCCTATTCGTCTTTGTTATAGCAACACTAATGATATTCATTATTAACAGGTCACAGAACCGTGTTATCCGCAATCAAAACGAGTTATTTAAATATCGCATAAAATGCATCGGGTTCGAGGTGAAACGCGCTTTCCGACGCGGCCCGAAAGGTCGCGCCAATTTTACCGCGCAGATTATTTCAGCATTGTAATCGTCGCGACATTTCCAACACACTCTTCGTAATGAAGAATACGCAAACTTATTTTGTCCCTTTCGCGATCGAAATTAGACATGTGTCTGATCGCAAAAGGACGAAACATTACATAATTCACGTGACAAATGTTTGCTCGTGGTCGAAGGAAAGTGGACGCAATTGGATCGGCATTTTATTAGACCAGCAATTACGCAATCGATAATGTCCAGGTCATTATTTCTCCTTTTTTTTTCTTTTTTGCTAAAAGTTACGAAGACGTACGAAGATAGAAACGATAATTATGGTACTCGGAGATTTTCGGAAGCTGAACGAGATTGAAAAAGGTCGATCGAAGTCGAGAGCTCAGACGTATTAAAGATTATCTTGATTTATGCACGACTATATATCGCAATGAAATAATAATTATGAAAGATTTTATATAAATTATTACACGTCGATAGATATAGTTGACAGATAATTAATAAACGTCACAATTTTATATATGAAATTAATATTGAGACAATAAGCTGGAAAAATTTGATCTTCTCTTATCCTTTAACGATTACGTCGAATACGTTTTTTTTTATAAATAATATTTATATTTTTCATTCAAGATAAATAAATTAATCTAGCAGACTTATACGCTACAAAAGATTTCAAGCATTTACTTCGCTTTATAAAAATATGCGTTTCTTCTTGTAAATTAAGTCCATTTCATCCTTAATCAATCCTTAATAATAGAAGTCGATGACTTCTATTAATTAATTTACGAGCAACTAACGAACTTATTTATAAGTAAGTAACTAGTAGAAATTCACTTGTCGCTCAAGTAAAATTTACAAACTTCGTGTCGCAAATATTGCCACTCCAGGGAGCACCGCGACGCAGATTATTCGCGGTGTAATGGCAGAGTATAGTGCGCCATCGAGCGTAATCGTCGACGGCACGACATGAAAAAAATGGTCTTCTTGGAAGCCGGTAAATCGCTAGAGAGGGACTTATGATTAGGCGTTACGAGCCAGTGACAATGGTGAACCGAGCGTCTTCTCAGCGATTCGCTGGCGGACCTTCATTTGCGACGCCGATCTCGTTACGCAATTGATAATATTTACATTGCGTGGTTTTCCGCGAAACGCGTTCCAGCCTCTAATGATTAAATTCTAATTTCCGAGCGACTTTTGTTGTCAGCTTAATGGCACTACTTAAGTACACGGCTTCCTCGTCATGGAGAGAGAAATGCCAGCGAATCATTGCCGAGCACTCTTTTTTATCTATTCGCTTCTCATTTTGTTGACACGCGCACACGCGATTACCACTGCGAGTGCGAAATCGCATGAAACAATAGCGACGAGATCGATGCAAGCCAACACAAAGTTGGCGTCCACGTGCAGCCGCGCCTTTCTCGCCGCGATCCGTCGCGAACGCGCAATTGCTACGCTACTTTTTTTCACTCGTATGAATTGTCCGAGCCACAGTGGCGTACGTGTAACAAAACGCTCTTTCATACGCGATGGAATATCGCGAAAATCTTGCATCACTCGCTTGCAAATGTCCGAACGATCGACTGGACAGCGTGTGCATCCGGTCTGTTTCTCTCAACGACAAGCCAGCTACGATCTTACATGGATCTTAGCGCAAAATCCATTACTAAATTTAACCGAAATCACTTTCAAGCATTTTTCAATATTTCCTTATTATAATAACATTTTTACTGGATCATAATTACGCAATAAAAATTAAATTGCAAATTATAATTTTTCATTATACGATCCAGTGATTCCCGATTAAATTGATCGTCGGTTAATCGATGATCGTTTATCCCTGAAAAATTTTTAAGCACCAACGGAAATAAAAAACTGACCATTTTAATGGTGAAAAATCGCATAATTAGGCCGCAAAATATTTCTAATCGGACACTCGATTAACCAAGAAATCCTTTCCTCCCACTTTCTCCCTTTCTTCGTTCTTCTTCGTTGTAAATTAATTTCCAAGTTATGCTAAGACACGTTAGTATTCTATATACACGGAAATTAATTGTATCCGCAACGAAAATCGCATTGTTTCCATCCGCGAGCCAGTGTTTTTTACGGGAGAATTGCAGCAATCTAATGTTCCAGCAACTATTGAAAATCCTGTGAAATCTCCTGAGATTTGCACCTTCCCCCTCTTCCTCTTCCCTCGGGCGAAGAAGCTTTATTTTCATTAAAATGTGATCGTTCGCCAACAGAAGCCACTGCATAAGCCCTTACGTGTATATGTCTGCCATTCGGTGGTGTGTTTTAGTCCCTGCCAGGACTGTGCACTTTATTGATTCTAGGCTGACCTCCGATTCGCATGGCGAAGCACACAGGCTCGAGTAAACGCGTACCGTCTAGGTAGGGAGAAAGCTTTCACCGTTGTCGGCGTTCAGTCTTTTTTATCTTCTTTCCATTTATTTCACAAACGACGATCCAATAAATTGGAAAACAACACGTCGCCTTCCAATTTATTCAACCATAAAGACTTTATTACACAATGAATTTATTTTACGCAATTAAACATATTCATAAAAAATTGCGCCCCGTTCCCCGCATTAATTTCCAAATTGGCTTCCGTGAAATTGACAGGCAACAAAAATATATAGAATAATAGGGAATCAATTGATCACTTAAAAGATTATTTAAAAGACTTGGATAGACATTTACATAAATAAACTGCATATTTTTAATTGTTTCATAATCGAATATTTAAATTCTTGGTCATGTGTTCCTTTTACTTCTTCGAGCAATAATGCAATTTGAACACACGATTGGAAGAATATAGCTCGTACAGTTTGTATCACAACGATAGATTTATAATTTCGATGACTTGCGTTCTCCATTCTTATTGCCTTCCTTCGAAATGATTCAATTCTCGTGCGCTTGTTAATGAAAGTTACGGCGAAACATTTCACTTAACACCTCTCACGCGTTCCCAGAGTGTCCTCGTATCATTGCACAGTGGAGAGTTATTTGCACAACGCGTTCCTTCTTCGCGACGCGGTATAACCGAGTGATTAACCTGAATCCTAGAAACATATTTTTACAAAGTTCATTACCGTTTCCACATAACGATTTTGTTTGTTAGTTGTCGCCAACGTGCATCTTTCGGTTTTTAGAACTCAGACAATCTATTTACGCGTTTCACGACCAATTAATAATTATGCACACTGATAAAACAATTTCAAGCTAATCATGATTTGCTAAAAATGCCGCTGTAACTATAAATTTCTAAACCACAGCAAACGGTTTGCACCTAATACAATAGGCACAGTAGCAAAATATTAGCTACCGTAACTGAATATTAGCTGTACATATTTTACAACTGAAATTCAGTTACCACATGCACTTTTCAGCTACATGCAATATTATAATGTAATAATAAATTGAAGACTCTTCTTTCCTCTATAACGTTCGTAAATTTTATCATTACTAATTTGCAGCATTGATATTTCTATGTGCAAATAAAAATCTGCATTGCTACATAAAATAACAGCGACAAGAGGCAAATAAGCAGTAAAGTACTAAGTATCTATCATGATTTATAAATTGCTCTCGCACTCTACCAGTACGTTCACATTTGTATGTTTCATATGGAAAGTAATTTATATATATATATATTATCTCCTGTTATTTATTGGTCAATGACATCAGCTGTTTGTGTCGCTACTTATATCACGTAATCTGCTTTCCTTTGTATTTCATTATTCAAATTAACATATCGAGGTTAATGTCATGTTAAGAAATTAACAAACCGAATGCACAATAAAATGAAAAGGCAAATAAGATTTTACGTCGGTTTATAAATAACTTGGTTCAATATTTGCCATTTAACTTAATTAGCTTCGCAATGCTAACAGAGCGGTGTAAACCCCAATATATACCGTAAAATAAATAACTTAAGTAAATTATTCGATATAAATCAACTCGACTCGCACATTTTCCACGATTCTCAGAGCTGCATTTACACCAGTTAAAAAATGAGCAGTAACAATATAATAAATATAACATACAGTTATGAGAATTCTCGGCACGATTAGATGCAATTGCCACGTTGTTTATTGTCGCCGACAACGCGAAACGTAAGACTCGCAGACGTCAGCAATTATTCCCGAGCAGCGCGTCGCATTTGT